AGCAATTTAGTAAAGGAATTAGTTAATTTTTTTGTAATCCAAAACTATTTCTTATTACTTTAAATGATTATTCTTATTTATTTTTATAATGAAAAAAAATATCAGATTAATAAATTTCATTAATTCCTTAAAAATGACTTTGTCAACAAGAAATGTGCATTTCTTAAAAAGGGTAATTGAGTCTTGCTTCGCTGTAAGATCTCTTGTGACTGAGAGGATCACACATTGAGTTTAAAGGTGGTTTTCCCATTTTAAATCAAATGTAGTTTAATCACTACTGAAAGGTATATTTTCTTTATGAAGACTTTTGGAAGCCTTGGCCAATGTAATGTGAATTAAATTTTTTTTTTAAAGTGGATATCTACTTAAATATGTGTATCCACAAAAATATAGCATTTCTGTTAATAAGAAATAAATTCTAATGTTTTCTGGATATTTTACTTTTATTTAGACTTCCCATTATTATTGATAAAAATCACAATTATTATTTACATGTAATTGATGTTATTAACTTTCAACAATGTTTTGAAACTTTTGATCATTAATTTACTTTATATTTCCTTGATTTCTGTTTTATTTTTTCTTATTGGTCTTATCAACATGTGATTACTACAACAAGTAAGAAAACAGACTATTTTCATTTAAAGTTAATCTTTTATTGGTGTATGATTGTCACAGTAGCTGGAAAATATTACTCTCTTTAGTAGTATTTAAGTAGAAATTATTAATATTATTACTACTAGTTATTAATATTACTTAGTATTTATGTTGAACTCTAGATCAGCCATGTAAAATTCAGTGTATTTTACCAAGCTTCATTTTCCAATGAATGTCCAACCTGAGCAGTGAAATAGTGTTCTACCATTGTTTTTAACTTTCCTGGCATAAGAGTTCTAGTTCTTATCTTTTCAAGCACATTGATAACTGGATAAATGTATTTTCTTAGAAGAACAATTGGTTAAAATATAAAAATATTAATGGTTTAAAAATAAAAAAAAATGTTTCTCATAAAAGCAATTTCTTTTTTTTTTTATCATAACTCATCCATAAAGATCTATAAAATTAAAAGTTAGTGTTATTGTAGTCTGTGGACTACCACATTGCTTCTAATGCAGTGTGCACTTACTCCTTCACAGTTGTTTAAAAGAATTCAAATTTAATACGAAGTTTCACAGTACATTTATGTCTATTGCAACAAATATTTATTAAAAAATTTTAAATCAGTAAAAGGCATTAAAAATATTAAGTCTTATAAACAGTTTGTAGAATTCTCTTTACTATTCATATCTGTACAATGCAAAAAAAATGGTTTTCTCTTTGAATTGTCTGCCATGCATCCTTCTCATGGGTACCTATGAACCAGTTGAAACCCACCTTTTTAGTTAGGCTTCTTTTTTTTTTCCATTTACATCTTAATTCTGTTTCTTGCACATTATTAAGGACGTTGCGTTCTCTCAGAAATGCATATGCATATTCTTCACAAGAAATGACAATTTGGTAAAATTCCTTCACAAGCATCTTATTAATTATGGGTTCTTATATTTTTTTTTTTCAATCTTATTTGAATGCCTTACTCAGGACCAATGACTCATGGGAAAATTCGTGACTCGCATGCTTGTGTAGACCATATACAACAATATGGTAGATCTCAAATACTGAGGTAGACCACATAATACAATAGAACAAAATTCTTGCAACAATATGATATATCTCAAATACTGAGGTAGACCACATAATACAATAGAACTTAAAATTCTTACAACAATATGGTAGATCTCAAATACTGAGATAGAATAGAACTTAAAATTCTTATGAATTATTAAATGAAAAGTATGATTCAGAAAAAGCATATGAAGGCCTATATTTTTATATTCACCACATAGATATGCATTTTTGGCTTTATTGAGACAGTTGTTCAGGACATTGACTATTAGAAATTTTATAATTTACTTGGGCAATTAAGAACTGTCCTACTGTACCTGCACCATTGCACAAGTCACTTTTATATGGTGTCTGAAGTTAACACAATGGTGTCTTAGAAATTTTATTTTGGAAAGTGACTTAGTGTTGTTTTCCATATCAGATGACTTTTTTATGCCCCTTTCATTCTGAACCTGGCTCTCCAAAGATTCTGTTTTCTTTATCATCTCTGAATTGCTACGACTTCTTGGGGAAAGTATATAGTTTTGGATTCCAGGTAGTTTTCCTTCTACACTGGTTATCAGCCAAGGCTAGATAGCTTAGTCTACCCTGCTATTCATGGCTAGTGGGAAAAGAGATAGATACATGCCTTTCCCAAGGGCATTTGTGTGAAAGCAAAATAAAAGAAAGTAAAATTGAACTTGACTCACTGATTCCATTAAGCTACCTGCACACCCTTCCACATTAAATAAAACAAACTTATGTGGTCTTTTTTTTTAACACCACTATGGCTGCAAATAAATCTCTCTTCTGATTATCAACACATAGACTTAAGTTCAAGTGTAAAGGCTACTTCTAGATCTTGAATGACTCTGACTCTGCTTCTGTGATGCCATATTTGGGATATAAATTATCTGCAAGTATTTAATAATAAATATTGCAAAGTTTGTTATTTGTTGAAGCTTTCCAGTGCCAACTGCTATTTATCAATAATGTGTCAAGACATTCAATTCACAAAGACGTGTGTAGACGGGCAATTCTCAAAGACATGTAGAGACATTCAATTCACAAAGACGTGTGTAGACGGGCAATTCTCAAAGACATGTAGAGACATTCAATTCACAAAGACGTGTGTAGACGGGCAATTCTCAAAGACATGTAGAGACATTCAATTCACAAAGACGTGTGTAGACGGGCAATTCTCAAAGACATGTAGAGACATTCAATTCACAAAGACCATGTAGAGATGTCCAATTCGCAAAGAAGATGTCTAATTCAAAAATACCTAATTATTATTTTATTGCCTTTCCTTTATCAATTCTTACACTTCCTGTAAAAGTTATGTACTTTAGTATCAAATTTTACATTTGAAAAAAATACTTTTTAATTTTTCAGTTTACAAAATGGTAAAAATCATAGGAAATCATATCTCTCCAAAAACCTCTTTTTCTTCATTATCTTCAGTTTTTGGCTTAACATCTTGGGAAAGATAACAGAGTAGTTTCCTGTTGCTTACTCTATGGTTTTGGATTCAGAATAGACCTTCTAGATTAGTTGCTACCCACAGCTAGAGAGACTATAGTCTACTCTCCTATTTAACTCATATTTGGGAGTAAAAATGATTGGCTCATACTTTTCCCAAGAGCATTAGTGTGAATGTAAATGCAGCAGGCTATGCCAGGAGGTGAACCAATTCCACTTTCCATGCTGATAATTGCTACATATGTTGACTATAATAATTGTAATGAAATTTTTGAATTTTTGACCTCTTAAAATTGTTTATTTGTGATTTATTTTTACAGCCAACATAAAATTAGTATGTTGTGTGCTGTTTACTCTTTTCAAATCAGCAAATATTTTCTAACCCAAATTTTAAAATGCAAACTGTTGTGTTATTGATCCTGACCTGGCATCTCGGCTTCAGTCACTTTTCTACTGCCATAACCTAGCTTTCCCATGCTTTTTCTATAAATATTTTCATGGTAAGTGTTTTGATGAACTTTCCACTATGGTACCTAAGCTTTATGAATTTAACCATGCATTAGTCACCTTGGATTTCCAAAAATGGGTAGTCCCCTGCTATCTGTCACCCACAACAACTGAGCTACACCACATGATATACACTCTCACTGCTCAGGCAAGCAGTGGGAGCGAGCAAAAGAAACGAGTTGCCAACAAGGAATTATGAGTACTTTAAAAATTTATGGGTAACGAAACACGTCATGTGACTAATGCAAGGTTAAAGGTAGTACTAGATTGGCAGAAAGGTCTCATCATTTTACACATGAAAAGGTTAGATATAACTGTAAGTTCTATGCTTGCAGTTTCTTCTCTCACACTTCTTGCCTGTGGAATTCTCTTCCAACTTCTTGATACCCAGTCAACTTTGATCTTCAAAAATTTTAATTCAGTGTTTGTTATCTTGTCTTCTGAATTCCTATTCTTTTATTGTTCTCTCTCTTTAACAGTGATTTCGTTTTCTTTCTTATATTCTCTCACACTGAGTAACCCCTTGTGAAGCTTTATATTGCCTTGTTGGGGTAAAATTAATTTTTTTTTTTTTAAAAAAACTACACTTAATGCATGTATCAGGCACTGATAATTTCCCAATCGATATTGCATTCGATCAATTTTTCTATTTGTTTTCATCTAGTCCAGAATTGTGTTTAAGAAGCGAGGTTTTATACCTTGAAGTGAAATTAATAACATGTTATTTTAGCCAAGTAAATGTGCAAATCGAAGTTATGTGAATCAGTAACCACAAAAAAAGCAATCTTTTAAAATTGAATTAAGTAATCTGCTAAATACACTGTCATATAGTGACTTCGACATTCAAGCAATAGTGTGGTCGCTTGCACTTAAACATGTTGTAACAGTGTTTTTGTGTTACAATACATCCAATCTGTTACAAGAGACAAAAATGTGTGACGTCCGAATATTGGTACACTTTTTTAACGTTACGGCTACTAGCATTGTTTACCCAGAGGCAAAGAAAATTTCTGTGAATGGACAAATGTATATATCTGTGAATGGACATATGTCTACGCTTTTTAGTTTTTATTTAATTTATCTTATTTATTTGTTTGTACAAAGAATAGTCATGTCTGAAAAGGGCCGGGGATCCCCAGTTTGACCCCACATTTAGGGAACAGAATCGCGTAGACAGACGAACGATCATTCCAAAGATTTGCGTCGCTGAAGTGTTTCGTGAGAGAATAAAATTTTTAAAAAAATTAAAATGAAAGAGAGAGAAGGAGGAGAAAAATTAAGTCAAATTCGAAATATGGCAAACAAACGAAAAAAAAAGAGTGATGAAAAGAGCAAAAGAAAGAAGAGAGAAAATGAAACGCAGAGACGCAATGAGTCGGGTTTTCTCTCTCTTTCTCTCTCTCTCAACTGGGTGTTGTGTAGTGCGCTCACTTGCTGCTTCTATTCAGTGTCAAGGCCAGACAATCAGGTTTTCTGACACGTGCGCTTGTCCAACCCACACAATTCGCCTCCTACTTCTACCCACTACCTCATTTTTGTCCTCTATACCATCTATTTACTTCTTTTTTCTTTTTTTTTTCTTTTTTAATCTATCTATATTCTTTTTACGCCCCTCCTCTTTCTCCATCGATTTTTCCACAAATTTCAACAGCTTTTCTTTTGCTGCTCATTTGATTCAAAATTTAACTTCCTCTTCAAATTCGTTTTTCTTCTTGTGATCTCTCTCACTCTACTTTTTTTTTTTTTTTTTTTTTTTTTTTGTAAATTTCTCTATTTGTCTTTCTCTTTCTTTTCAAATTTAATCATCCTATTCTATCAATCTCTCTAAATTTCTATCAGTCTATCTATCTTTTTGCTAATGATCACCCAATACAAGGCCCAAGGTCCACTCAAGGTACAGGGTTACCGTGTGGATATGTATTACTATTGGCATGATAAAGGGCAAGATAACAAGAAAGATAAGCAGCTAATTCTAGACGAAGAGATCAAGATATAATTAGAAATTAGCGAATAAAATTCCAGAGTTCAGGTGGAGATGTTAGGAATATAGAGTTGAAGTAGACTTTAGAAGGGACCGGAAACCCAATCCTAAACAGGAAACAAGAGATAAACCTCCACTCTTGTTCAAAGGACCGAGGAGGTGTGTGAACCGGGCAATAGGCAAACCTATCTATCTATCTATCTATCTATCTATCTATCTATCTATCTATCTATCTATCTATCTATCTATCTATCTATCGCGTTTTTATGTTGTCCTCTCTTTCTGATACTTGTTTCTATATTTCTTTCTCTTAAAAATGTCCGTTTCAGTTTTTTTTATCTATTGCATGTAACTATTTATTTGTCGGCATCTGCTTCGGCTGGGTAGTTTCAAAATAATATTGAGCTCAGGCCCCGGGGGAGGCATACACTCCACCCCCGACAGTACCTCTCCTTCGGGTGGCGGCTAGAGTCATTATCCGGCACCTGGAGCGTCCCCAAAAGGGAATGTGCCGAGGGAGGCATGAGCAATTCTTTTACACGGTATTGCACTTTAAACTTCAACCTTGTGTCACATTTGGTAGCGACATGAACGCACTGAAAAAAAGCATTTACTTGTCATCCGTAGTTTTCTTTTTTTTTTTTTTTTTTCTTTTTTTTTCCATTGTTTGTCCCGGCCTGGGTAAGACGATAAACTACGTCCAACAGCAAGGCCTCTGATCAGGAGTTTTTGAGGAGCGTGGAACCACCTCTTAGTTGGTAGAACCTGTTAGAGTCCCAGATATGGATAAATAGTTAACCCCCAAACTTGGGTCAAAACACTATGAAAGTGTAAAAATAGGTTTTAATACCAGAAATACTTTGTAAAAAAATATTAGCAGCAGTACATTTTTTGATTAAAAAAAATATTACCAGCTATACACTTTTTTTTAAAGAAATTTATTACCAAAAATAGATTTATTGTAGAAAAAATATTACCAGAAATAAATTTTTATTCCCAACAATAAAAGTTTTGTGGGCATTAAATAACCTATTGAGGTTGATATACCGTAAAATAAAACAAACCAACCAAATCAAACAATTGTTGCTGTTTTCCTCCTCCTCTAAAATCATGATCCAGTTAAAAACTGCAGCATGAAATCCAGAAATTCATTGAAATCACTTCCACAATAAAATAAAGTCAAAATTAATTCACAATAATTTTACAATTATTACTCACCAACAACATAACTATTAATTATAAAATTGTGTCATACCGAATATGTATGATCAAAAGCCAAAAGATCGAGCGGCATTTAAGTTAGCTCCTGCAGAAGAATCTTGATTGGGCAGAGAGGAACCCAGGCTATGTCGAAAGGCAGTCTCATGTGTGGATTGTAGACAGCTACCCGACCCTGTTTATACGGGGTCTACAAGGAATTTTTGCCTGAGCCTACGGGCTCGGTTCACCCCACATTAAATTCGGCCTTGTGCCACATCTGACCGCGTTGGGAGGTTAGTGAATATCTTCATCGCAGTAGGTAGGGAGGAGTAGATGCGATAAGCAACAATAAACTACAGAAGAACTCAAACTTGATCGCTGCATTTAAGTATTGCATTAATATTTAAGCTTACCTTTTAAAAGTTCAATGATAATTTTTCTACCGCCACTTAGTTTAAAGACAATTTGATGTACGTAGTTTCTTACTTCTGTACAAAGAATTTTTATTTCATGGGAGACTTTTGCTCGATTTCGCAATTAATTTCAATTATTCCCAAATTTATTTCCAAGTTATAAAAATTGTTATCGTACAAAAAAAAAAAAAAAACTCTCGCAAATAATCACGTAAAAAAAAATCGCCGAAAACAATGACAGTGATGAAAATTTGGGAATTCTAAATGTCAGGATTGCGGATCCGGATTTAGCCTGGAATGTTTTTAATTTGTTCACGGATTCGGCCTGATTCCAAAATTGTATGATATGTTGGGCTACGCCCTCTAGGAGTAAAAATGAAAATGTGTGACACAGTGACATTCACATATATTATATATTAGGTTGGTGCAAAAATAATGACGTAATAATATCGTTTTTTGACGTATTTTTTAACCTCAAAAAACGACATTATTACGTCATTATTTTTGCACCAACCTAATAGATTAAAATTAAGAATACTTGTGATAAGACTTACCCCCCACCTCTCTTATTTGTATAAATGAGTCGTGCCGTCTTAGCCAAAATGGCAACACTCTTCAGCTGTGTTCAATGAAAGCACATTAAGCCGAACTAGACCCCGAGTTTTCATTATACAATACTTTATGCTGATCACTTTCGAATTTAAAATAATTCAATAAAGGATCCTTAAAAAAATTCACTTGGTCTGTAAGATCAACAGATCTCAGAAAAGATATGGACAACGCAACTATCGCCGAACGGACAAAACTTGTTTGTGTGCTATCAATTTGTTCCCAACACTAGCAATAATGCTATTGCTAGTAATGAAGACTTAGAGTGGAAGGATGATAGAAATCGCTCTCTTGCAAAAGATTAGCGCAAAAAATGCTTTTAAATCTCCCCACTCCGTCACGACCTGTAGAAGTTCTTCTATTATGTACTGTGTCCCTTCACAACATAGCCGATCATGGCTCTCCACAACTTTCTATCTTGTATGGCTCTTATCAGTTTTTCTCCCTTTGCTAATGCCCCCGAGACCCCATTTTGCCATCCAATCACACGAGCTCGTCAGGTTAGTGGCTCGCTGCCTTCCTTTATTTTGCCCTCAATATGCCCCGTTAGGGTCACGTTTTCTAAGCCCTCTTTCATCATTATGGTAAATTTCTAAGCATAGCTTAGATGTGGCACAAAGCTAAAACTATGGGGAACCCAATGAGGATCGAACTTACTACTCAGTCGTAATTGTTCTAGAGAGACAAGCTTGCTAACCATTACACCACGTCAAGGTGCCCCTCCTTCCTCATTATGTGTCCAAAGAATTTCAGCTGTCTCTTCCTGATTCTGAGCATGTGTTCTTTCTGTTGTCATTTTTTTTAAGTCTTCCTCGTTGCTTATTCGCTCCGTACATGGAATTCTCAGTATCCTTCTGTAGAACCATATTTCTGTTGCTTCTATTTTTTCTTCATCCCTGAGAGAATTGTCCAACATTGACTGTCATATAAGAGGATCGATACGCATAGTAATCCAGCACTATTTTCTTTGTTTCTAACAAAAGTTTCCCGTTTCTCAGCTTAGCTTTTGGAATGTCTCTTTCGCTAAGCCATACGTGTTTGGATCTCGGTGTCACATTTTCCATCCTCTGTTAAAAAGTGTTGTGGCATACCTACGAACGATAATGGGTATGTCCCCATTCACATAAATACAGTAGTAAATACTGTATGTTGGTCTGCAGTCGGCGATTCGTCTCCAGCTGTACTGGTCAAACTCTCTGCCTCTGGGTAGAGAGGATCCCCAGACGAGGTTATGTCGAAGAGCAGTCTCGCGTCTCAGGAAACAGCTACCCGACCCCGTTTTATACGGGGTCTACGGGGAATTTTTGCCCGAGCCTACGGACTCAGATACTCCACATTAAATTCGGCCTTGTGCCACATCTGACCGCGTGGATCGGTTGGTAGATATCTTACAGTTGGAGATTCATTGTGGAATTCACTTGACTCACTTCTAGCAGTTGACTACTTCTACGCGCCGCTGGCGAATCTTATATGTGTTGTTCGTGTTCTAAGTATTATCGTTCATTACCAATCTTCGTGTGATTATTCTATTCAGTAACCTTCTCTCGGTTACAACCTTCCCGGATATTTGAACTTCTGTACCTGCTTAATGTCTGTATTTCCAGTTCGTAACTTGCATCTTGTGCTTTTTCTCTTGCTGATGACCATACTTTCTGTCTTCTTGCAGTTGATGGTTTTTCTTTTTTTTTTTTTTTATTTCGCTTTCTTCTACCAGCGTCTAGCAGGTCCTGTAAAAAAACCCAAATTTTCTTTCACTTTCTTCACTGTTAGAGAAACACTTTTGTTTTTTTGGGTTTTTTTTTTTTTCGTACCATTAAAATATCACAAATCTTAAGTGTATAATTTCCTTTTTTTTTTTTTTTTTTTTTGTGGGAAAGTTGTGTCCAGTGTCTATAAAAACCCTATCTTTTCAGCCGAACACATCCAAAAGGGACATTTTAACGCTATCTTGAGTTGGTTAAGAAGTGGGTTACTCAGAGCCGGTGCAAAGGTCTCGTCAGAACCCCCACCCACACCCGAATCTATGATACGCCCCCCACTCTAGTACATCTCAATTTTCACAAGATCATATTCTTATAAAATATAAATTTTATTGTAACCTAATTATAGACAATATTGGATCACATGCAATATAGGTAAACAATTCAGCTAGAAAAATTGAAAATAAATACAATGTATCTAAATACAAATTAGAGACATGTCATAATAGATCATTCCGTCTTAAATTAATCTACAATCGAGGGGTTCGAGGTAATACGCGCCGGTCCTTGGGTTATATACACTCAATGTCCTATTTACAAATGATCCTCAAAAATAAAAGCACTCACTTGTATTTAAATGCTAATGGCTCTTAGAGATTTCAAATAGTCTTTCTTTGTTGGTGCAACAGAAGGGTACATGCTGTAGTACAATGTAGAACACTGACACTTCTTTTTCTAAGAGATGGTACATCAAATGAAACTTCATCCTATTTGGCTCTATTCAAAACAAGTTTATTTTCTATACTTATCACAAATTTATGAAATTCTAATATTTTGGAGGATAGTGCTGACCTTCTGTCATCATAAAGGTTGTTCACTTGTGTTATAGGTCCTTATTTCCACGAGAAATATAACAAGATTCTTAATAAAAAATAAAATAAAAATGTGTTAGGGCAAGGAGTATTTTATACGGAACTTTACTTCAATCCACACAAGGCCAACCTGTGGTTTATAATGTGACTATACTGAACGGACATTAGTTACAGTTTATGGGAGAGAGCACATAATCTGACCAGATCAGTTATTGAACAAGGCCTATACTTTCATACCCTCAGTCACGTTAACTTGTGACATTTATGATAGCACAATCATCTGCAGTTTCTAGATAGTTTCGTCTAAACAATTTTATTGACAAGGTCTGGGTCAACAAAAAAATCGTTTTCGGGCACTTCCTCAACGGTACCTCAAGCTGGGATCGTCTCCCCGAGAAATCACCTCCCCGAGAAATCACCTCCCCGAGAAATCACCTCCCCGAGAAATCAACCATGGTAAAATTCGAACCCGGCTCTCGTGATCAAAACGTTAACGTTCTAATCTTTTTGGGATACGCGTTGGGTGCTGAAAAAATTTCAGTCTGATAAAAATTCCGAAAATCAGTATTTTAATAATCAAACATCATAATTTTCTTCTTTTTTTTTATTACAAGAAAGTTCAGAAATGATGACCTAAGAAGTATGTGAAGTACGTTTCAAAACTCTAGGTCAAGCCGATAAAGCTTATTTTTCAGCAATCCCCACCACCCTCGTACCTTGACCGACTGAATATAACATTTTCCATTTGGGAACTGAAGTTGCTTAAAAAGTCGTCACAATTTTATTTCACCTAATAATTCGACAGTAATTTATTTAATTATAGACACCCCCTCACACACACATACACACCAAAAAAAAGTAAAAACAAAAAGTATTGTAATGTTCTTCAGTGAGTAACACCCTCTCCCTGCTTAAATGTCCCCTTATATAATAAACATGTATATGTATATTGTTTACAATCTGTGTCAATACGGTGTACTGTAGTTTGATAAAGAAAAGGAGGGAAGCTTTTGGCTACAATTAATTTAGAGAGATAAAGTGTGTATATGTGTATATATATATACACACACACACACACACACGTGCTTTATATTGTTACAGTTACATACTGCTTGGCAGTGTCGACGTAATTTTATTGAAGTTCAAGAAAACCCGTGATTCATATTTGCTACTTTTAGATAAAAAAAAAAAAAAGAACAAATTAAAAAGGAAAAAGGATCAAACAAAAAGTGTTTTGTTTTTTTTGTTTTCCTTTTTATTTATTCTACTGTACAGGGTGGTCCGAAAGTCTTGTCATCCTAACCCTCTCTTCCAAACTGTAGATGCTCGTGTCAGTCATCTGAAATAAAGATTATGTAAGGGTGACAAGACTTTTGGACCACTCTGTACATATTAGCTAAGTTCCGGATTGAGAGATAGAGAGAGAGAAAAAAAATCAAAATTAGGTATCCGTTGGTGATGTTGGTATTACTACTACTACTACTACTACTACTACATAGCCCCGCCTGTTGCTTGTTTGTTAGTCGTCTCTGCATTTCGCTCCAGTGATGATGGAGAAAAAAAAAGAGATTTTTCTCGTAATGGAGGAAGGAAGAGGAGGATTTCACAGCCAAAGCAAGTGGAGCGACAGCGATAGCTGTGAGGGATGATGTTGTTGTTACTGTTGTTGTTGTTGTTGTTGTTGTTCGGCAATGCGAGCCACCACCCTTCTGCCTCAGCTGGTAGATGTCGGTCAGGCACGTGAGGCTAGGGTACACGTGAACACAGACAGAGTGCTTACTGGCACTGTCTTCCTTTCTGGAAATGTGGCGGGATCACATGAGTCTGACGATTGCCAAAAGACGAAGCTCGAACTTCAGAAGTATTTGCAGAGGAGGAAAGATGAAGTGGAGAAATAAAGTGAGAGAAAGGGGACATATTGTTACGGAATGCATTGCCTCATATGTGTGTCTCTCTTCCTCACAAGATGGCATACGCATGCACGTACTTATGTACGTACATGCATGTGTTCAATTTGCTCTGTGCACTTGTAAAACAGCTGCAGTTTCAAGTTCAGATTCTAGTCGAGTATAACTAGTTGATTATTATTACTGTCTACAGAACGGAAGACTTTATTTATATCGACATGCATCTCTATTGTTACACCTTTTTTCGCATAAAAAATCTGTAATAATTTGGTTGCATCTCTCTCACACGGGTGTCGACAAACAAGAAGAAGAGTAATGAATTGTAAATTAAATTTCATAAATGTTCCAATCATAATCTGACCAAAGTAAAAGGGGTAGCCAAATAATAAACAATCCTCAATTACATCGAAGATCAGTTTGTATTTGTAAAAGTAAAATCCTCTGCCAAAAACTCGAGGAATTATTAATTTAAAAAGACAAGATTTTTTTTTAACTCTCCCCCCCCACACACACACACACACTTTGGATAATTTTTAGCTCCTGACCGCAATTATCACTGTATTAATACTGCTTTTTTATTTTGTATAGTCATTTATTTATTTTTTTTAAATTATTTTTTTTACTGAAATTTTGAGTTTTAATCGTCAATTAAAAAAAAATTGCTTGGGTACGTTTATCCAAACCAAATCCATGACGCATGCGTATAAACCTGGCGTATTACATCCCAGTGATATTTACTATTCACTTTACACTAGAGTTAACGCTATATCGTCGTGCTTTATTGGTGGCTTTGTACTTTTCCGAAAATGTTATTATTATTATTATTATTATTATTATTTAAATTACAAAAGAAAATGAGTAAGAGTAATGAAGAATTCGGTTAAACAGTGGAAAACAAGAAGACTGCATACGTGCATTTAAAGACATTTTCATTTAGTGAACCAAAAGTAAAAGTGAAAAACTCATGAATGGAACTTGTTGACTTGAGAACAAATTCATTAATGAAAATTAAATTTAATAAGCTTTCCTCGATCCTAAATATTTCTGGCAAATAAAATTTTCTCAAAATTATATCTGTTGTTTAGAATTAATTCTGTACAGATGCGAACAGGTATTTTCATCTATGATATTCATTAAAAACAAAATGAGATCATGATTGATCAAAATTTAGAGAATTCTCTATTGCTCTCAGTAACTAATTCAACTCCCAGATTAATTTCGGCGGGTGTCTTATCAAAGGAATTAACTATCATTTCGTATTTATACTAAATCTATAAAAGATAGAAAATGCTCAATATATTTGCATAAATAGTTTTACAAGGTTGAATAAGAGATTTTTAATGACGCATCTAAAAACGTGTGTAGAAAAATTGACACATAGAATGTTAAAAGTTGACCACTCACAATCTGTGAAACCTCCCCACCACCCTGCATTATTTTAAGAGGTGGGATTAAAACTCTGAATGCTGAAGAAGATAATTATTATTACTACTACTCCTACTATTTACATTTTTACGGATTATCAACCTTTTGCAGGTTATTTAAAGCCAGAGAATAGCTTTAAATTGTAAGAACCTTTTGGAGATAATAATGATTTACCGATACAAGTCCTACTAATTAACCCATAGCTGCGGGGGGGAGAAGAACTGAACTTATATCTTTCTCAAGGATATTTACGCGTAAGTGAATATAACGAACCCGATGGGAATTGGAACTCGGCTCTCCGATTTCCAATTCCGAACCGTTAGCCATTACATCAGCTGCACATCCGAGATTACAGCACCTGGTATTACCAAGTGGTCACCCATCTAGGTACTAATAAGACTCGAAGCTGCTTAACTTCGGTGATAGTACGGGAACCGGTCTTTCTAAGTGATCTGGCTGTAAGCCTTATTACTATTATTATTGTTACTACTACTACTAGGGGTCTCTATCATTATATCGTAGAGCGTAACTGTGTAGAAATCCGGCAATAGACATTATATATATATATATATATATATATATATATATATATATATATATATACGTTTTTGTGTGACTTAAGTTTTGCTGGTTTTCCAGCTCATCGGACACAAAGTATATGTTATGTTTTTAGAAAATACACAGATGTCACATGGGAGGGACGCTGCTTCATAGTCCAAAAATTAAATAGTACAAAAGCCGCAGGAAATGTAGTGCAGTTAGGGCTCATTTAAATAAAGAAAAAAATTTAAAATAAATAAAGGAAACAATATGAATTTCAATTTTCAAAATTTAAGTCGCACACGTAAACGTAGGTATATGTATATTTATTAATATATATCTTTGCTCTGTCTAACCACATCGAGCACTGTTATGTTTACACCTCATTAATAAATTTGATGATTATTTATTTGCTTGCCTGTGTATACACGCCAACACGCGCGTATACGGTTTCTTATATCTGGTCGTTTGATTTATCTAACTCTATATATATATACATACATATATATATAGGTAAAAAATCCCTGGGTAAGTAATCCAAATATTAAAACTGATCCACAAAAGAGAGCTCAATATAATTTTTATTATATAGCTTATAAGTGAATTGCAATTAATGAGATCCAAACAATTTACCTCATACAGATGATCATTTTCTCCATGGGAAAGTAATTTTTATCTGGACATCTGTGCAAATACATTTATTATTTACTTTTACTTTTTTATATTTATTTTTTTAAGTAAATGTATTTGCATTGATAAGTCTAGGTAAAAACTACTTTCCCATGTATGAGGTAAATCGTTTGGATCTCATTAATTGTAATTCACACACACACACACACACACACACATATATATATATAATTTATAAGTTATTTTTAGTGGATACCCATATTTGAGTAGACATTATTTTTTAAACAGAATATTTATTTTAGCCTACCAGCATGAATATTCAAGAAATCTTAGTAAAGAAAAATAAATATACTGTTTAAAAAAATAAACTAAGCCTCTACTCATATATGGACATTCACTAAAAATAACGTTTAAAATGATCAAAATTTGGCGGATTAAAAAATTAAAAAAAACATTACTTGTTTAGAAATACATATGAAATGAGATGAGGATTTACCTTTAATTCGATATAAAAAAAATACTGGCAAAAATATATTAACAACTTTCGTTTTGAACTAAGAATTATAAAGAAAAGATGCAGGATAAATATTAACGACTTTTTAAAAAGTCACTTATTTTCTTTCTTTTTTTTTTTTTTTTTTTTTAAATCACAAGCAACGTCAGCTTAGGGAAAGACTACTATGATTCATTATCTAAGCATAGATACAAATACACATACAAATTTCTTTCTTTTCTTTTGGGATCTGATGAAGCCTAGAATGGCGAAACACGTAATCAAATCTATTTCCATGAAACCTTTCCATATGACAAATTTAAAATAAAAATATCTATAAGTGTGTTGTTGGTGGAGTTTGGTAGTTTCCACGTGTATCAAAATGAGTCACAATTATTACACACACATGCAAACACACACACACACACAGATTTGAGTATGCGTTTCAGCATTCTGAAAACTAGATGAGGATTTACCTTTAATTCAATACAAAAAAAAGCTGGGAAAATGAACTAAGAATTCTAAAGAAAAGATGCAGAATAAATATAATTGGCTTTTTTTAAAAGTCATTCATTTTCTTTCTTCTTTAATCACCAGAAACGTCAGCTTAGGGAAAGACTACTATGATTCATTATCTAAGCATACATACAAATACACATACACACATTTCTTTCTTACGTTTTGGGATCTGATGAAGCCTAGAAAGGCGAAACGCGTAATCAGATCTAGTTTCAATGAAACGTTTTCCATCTGTCAAATTTCTTAAAACCTTTGTCGGGATTCTATATCCAACTTCAAGCACACACACACACATATATAGTAAGATAATGAAGGGTTTGGTAATCCGTGTGGATAATTCCAAAGACGGTGTAATCCAGAGAGCTCATTGTAACAACAGAGTAAATATTAATTAAATAATTAAGAAATAGACAGCCTTAAGGTTCCATTACTATAATTTATTTCTCCAGAAATTTTTTTTTCTTGGTTCATCAAGTCACATCTCTAGCTCCAATTCCTTTGCTACTAGAGATGTGACCTGATAAATCAGGAAAAATATATTTTCTGGAGAAATAAATATATAGCTAAGGGAACCTTAATATTGTCACTTTTTTTAATTATTTAATTAATTTATATATATATATATATATATATATATATATATATATATATATATATATATATATATATATATAATCTACCTACGTATCAGCTGACTGTTCTGTATTTTACAAGTACATGAATGAAACTGACTGTAGTCGGGACGGAACGATAAGGTATCTGCCCTTCGGGGCTACATCAAACTAATCTAACAGATCATCAGTTACAGAAAAGTACCTTTTTATAATAAAGTTTTATTAGACGTGATCCGAAACGCATTTTCATTCAGTATAGCTTGTAATGTATGTTATGTTGAGCAGACAGAAAGATGAAGTGAATTTATTTGGGTGCAAGGCCGGAGGTATGGAGCACCTAGTGAAGGATCGAATTCACTGCATAGTAATAATGGTCAAACAGACTAGCTCGTTAAACATTACCCCACAGCGAGACGCACAAAATGATAATTACAAGACCTGAGAAGAAAATAATGGTCGTTAAGCAATTTTGTTCAAGTTTAATGTCTGATCGAAAAGTCGTTTAAATAGCAGCATCTTTAGTACCCGCACTCGAGTTTCAAATAGGTGAAGGATGGGAATAAATGGGGTGGCGGCAATTGTTTTTAATGACTATATTTTCAACAAAATCTGTCCTAGAAATCTCATAGCCTAAATTAAGGCATGGGAAGAATTTCCCTGAATATCTAATAAAAGAAGTGGTTGTTCTATTAGGTTGGTGCAAAAACAATGTCGTTTTTTTGACGTTCAACTTCAAAAGAGAAAACGACATTATTTTTGCACCAATCTAATAAATATAATATATATATATATATATATATATATATATATATATATATATATATATATATATATATATAAACTTATTTTTCTTATTTAATTTAATTTCTTAACGTGAAAGCTATTTGTCCAACTGTATTGTATTTTACAAGCATGGGAATTGAATGATATTAAAAAGGATAAAGCGTGAAAAAAATGCCTGGATTTTCAAGATGATATGAATGAACTATAATTTAAATAATGATTCGATCTTCTCATTTGCATATTACATTTCATTATAAGTTTCCCAGTGTTGTTAAAAAATTACGGTTATTTAAAAAAATATATATTTTATCAGTATAATTACAAAATTGCTATGCATTTATCTGTTCGATAAAAATAAATTTAAAATCTAAATTGTTTTAAATGGTATTTTGTTTGTTATCAGAAAAATTCCAATATAAAGAAATGGACAAGTCGCCCCATCTGATCTCTTCTAGTGTCACACCCACACACAAATACCTGAGGGTAAGGTAAAGTTCTCGGCCTCACCAACTTTCCAAAATCAGTGTTTTCATTTTTGAACATTTAAATAATGATTTTCGCTGTCCCTACGTATAAGTATACATTGTGTTTTATATGTGAGGATTGTGGAGTTAAAAAAGTACTAATAATGTCTGGGTGAAGTTTAGCCTACTAGATAGCTCAACTTCGTATATAAGACTCAAGCAGTATTTTTTAGTCATTTTCTTTTTCAAAAGTAGACAGATTCTTGTATACCATGGAATACACTACAGTATATTCTTTAAAGTTATTCTTTTCCGAAAGCACCGTTTTTTTTTTCATTTTTCTGGGTTTTTTTTTGGGGGGGGGGTTCTAGATTCCTAGCTCAATATACGAGAATATTCTGAAATTCTTGAGCTGTTATCTTGTTATCTTTGGACTCCTTGGAAGAACCACTTCAAAATCTCTACACATTCCCAGTTCTTTGTAGCACTATCATCACTTACGTCATTTAAACGAGGCAAAGGAGCATGAGTGGTAGCGGGTACTGTATATGGCTCTTCCCTTATGAGCATATTTAGCGCCAAAACTACGGACCACTTCTGCAGCCAAGGGCAATGTAAATAGAATATGGGTTAGCACATATATAAAGATATAGTTTTCACACACACACACACACACACACGCACACAACGTGCGGATATACACACGTATCTATAAATATATTGCACTAGCATTAACAAGCAATATACGTAGGTGAATTAGTAAGTCCGTAGCCTAATGTGAAAACGAAGTTTTACAAAATAAATTTATTTTTCGAAATTAATCCAATCGCAGATATTCACATAGATCAGACATTATACAGACAACATTTCAGATTTAAATAAAAAGTATGCATCAGACTACAAATCATATATATATATATATATATATATATATATATATATATATATATATATGATTCCTGTAGTTCACTGCTACTAACAAGCAGGATTTTTTCTCCTGATGATGGCCATACTGGCCTAAACTAGTCAAGGAACCTAATTGAAATAATAAAACAAAAATAATTAAAATTTTAATTTTTTAATATTTTTTATTGTTGAAAACACAAACGCATATATATATATATATGTGTGTGTGTGTGTGTGTGTACTGTTTTTGTTTTATTACTATATGCACATATGCATCCGCAACCCAGCAACTTAATCATGATTCATTTTATTTTTACACGATAAATATTTTTCTGCGGATTCTCTTTAATTCGGCAGCGAATATTAATCACATTAAGCAACCAATTATAACAATAACATTTTCAGCTCAAAATTCAGCAAATAAATACGCATCAGGCCACGAATTTATTGATCCACCCTCGTCTACACGTACGTTTATATGTCCGTATCCCGTAATAATGAAAAAAGCATG